TTATGTATACAGCGTTCTGTCTGTAGGCCAGAAGAGGGCACTAGGTCTCTGTGTATGTAGATGGTTGGGAGCCACCATGTGGTTGCTGGGAATTGAACTCAGGACCTCTGGAAGAACAGCCAGTGCTCTTAACCTCTGAGCCATCTCTCCAGCCCTGGACATGGAGATGTTAACCACATACCCACAATCAGAAGGATGACCAGAAAACAGAATCATGTACACAAGCCCCTTTCTTTGTTTATTTATTTTTATGTTTTACCTGCATGCACGTTTGTGCACCACATGTGTGCCTGGTGCCCCCAGAGGCCAGAAGAGGGTGTCAGATCTTCGAGGATGGGGGTTACAGACAGCTGTGAGCTGCCATGTAGGTGCTGGGAATTAAACCCAGGCTCTCTGGAAGAGCAGCTGGTGCTCTTAACCTCTAAGCCATCTCTCCAGCCCCAGTTTTCCCTTTTAAGTTAAAGTTTCACTTATTTTGTGTGTGTGTGTCTGTGTATGTCTGTGTGTGTTTGTGTGTGTGTGTGTGTGTATATCAATATGTGGAACAATAATAGATGGGTAGTTAGATGTATTTATAGAGAGATGGTTGGATAATAGATACATAGGTGAGTACAAGAATTAGTGGATGGGGCCTGGTCTGGTTCTTGCCTGCCTTCAATTCCAGCACTCAGGAGGTAAGGCAGGCTAGTCTACAATAGAATGAGTTCCAGGTCAGACCCTGTTAAAAAAAAAAAAAAGGTAGATGGCTGCATAGTTGATGCGATAGTGATATTGTTGTCAACTCAACAGAATCTAGAGTCACTTTTGAGATAAGCATGTGGACATGTCCAGAAGGGGATTCTTTGGATTTTGTTCATTGAGATAAGACCCGTCCACTGTGGGTGGCTCCATTCCCTAGCTGGGATCCTGGGCTATGTAAATGGAGAAAGGTTGCTGAGCAGCAGCGTCTTTCATGCTTTTTCTTCTTGACAGAGTGTGTTACTAGATGCTTCAAGCTCCTGCTGCCTTGTCCTCTCCTCCATGACATGACAGTGCCTTTGAACTATGTGCCGGAATAAACGCTTTCTCCCTTAATGTTCTATTTTACTACAGCAACAGAAAAGAAACTAAGATACAGTTGAATGGATGGATAGATGATGGAGAGATTGCTTAGTTGATGAATGGGTGAATAACAGATGGACAGATGATGGGTGAATTTGATAGATGGGTAGATAGATGATGGGATGGATAAATAAACACTTGGATGGATAGATGAACAGATAGATGGACAATAGATGGTGGATAGATGGTTAGATGGGTGGCATGATGTGTGAAAGAAAATAGCCTCCAAAAGGAGTGGCACTATTAGGAGGTGTGGACTTGTTGGAGTGGGTGTGGTCTTTCTGGAGAACGTGCGTCACTGTGGAGGCGGGCTTTGAGGTCTCATATATGCTCAAGATACAACCCAGTATCTCAGACCACTTCCTGTTGCCTGTGAGTCAAGATGTAGAACTCTCAGCTCCTTCTCTAGCACCATGTCTGCCTGCCTGATGCCTTGTTCCCTGCCATGATGATATCGGACTAAACCTCTGAAACTGTAAGCGAGTCACCACAATGAAATGTTGTCCTTTATAAGAGTTGCCTTGGTCGCGGTGTCTCCTCACAGCAACAGAAACCCTAACTAAGACAGATGGACAATCGGTGAATAAATAGATAAATAGATGACAAATGGATAGATGGCGAGATGGATGGACAGATGGATGATGGTAGATGGATAGATAACTAAATACATGAGGGAAAGAGAACAGATGTTGAATGAGAGGTAGATAGATGGTGTACAGATAGAACATAGGTGGATGGATAATGGATGGATGAATGAACGGGTGAGTAGATAGATGGACACAGTGTAACTAGCCGATAAATGTGACAAACTCATCTATTCAGCAAATGTACATTAGCGCTTTTTTTGTTGTTGTTGTTCATTTGTCCATTCATTTGTTTTGTGAGACAGGGTCTCACTATGTAGTCCAGGCTACCCTAGAGCTTCCTATGTAGACCAGGCTGGCCTCAAACTCACAGGGGTCCTCCTGCCTCTGCCTTCTGAGTGCTGGGATTAAGGGGGTGAGCCACCAAGTCTGGCCACATTAGCTCCTAAGGGGAAGTTGGACTGTAAAGAACAGATTGTTGATTCTGCCAGGGAATTTGCCATCTAGTGGGAAAGAGAGGCTGGTGCACCCATTGTGATCTCAGGCAGATCCAACTTGGCACTTCAGTGTGAGCAGTCTAGGGGAGAAACCTCAAGAGGCAAACCTGGGAGGCTGAGAGGGTGTCAGGTAGGGTTGCTGGGAAAAACTGGGTTTCCACACCCAGTCAAGATTCATCGTGGAGCCTGTGGACCGTGAACCAGACTTATTTATTTAAGAGGCTGTGAACTCTGGGCATCGGGTACTAGAGGGCAAGAGAGAGAGGCACCGAGAGGTGAACCAGGCCAGCTTACACCATGCCACTTGGAAGAGGCATTGTGTCATGTCATATCATGCCACTGTGGACAAAAAGCAAGAGTCTGGGGCATGCTTGCGGTTGTTGCACACTAGAGTGGTTTTTGTTGTTGTTTTGAGGTTTTTGTTTTGACTTTGTTTTTTACGTTTGTGTTTATTTGTGTGTGTGTGTGTGTGTGTGTGTGTGTGTGTGTGTGTGTGTGTTTGAGAGAGAGAGGGCAAGAGCACACACATGTGCCAACAGTGTTCATGGGTGAAGGTCGGGGGAACAACTTGTAGGAGCTGGTTCTCTTCTACCTTGTGGGTTCCAAGGACTGGTCATCCGGCTTGGCAGCAAGCATCTTGACCCATGAGCCATCTCTCCAGCCCTGCTTTCTTTTGGAGGGACAGGGTCTCACCATGTATCCCAGGCTGGCCTCACACTTGCTATGCAGCCAGGCATGACTTTGAACTCTGATCTTCTGCCTCTGTCTTCCCAGAGCTAAGACTACAGACGTGTAACACCACACCTGGTTTACAAAGTGCTGGGGGATTGAACCCACAGCTTCCTCTGGGCTGCATAGACAAGTACTCTAACAACTAAACTACGGGCCCAGCCTCAGTCTGGAACTTTCTGTGTAGACTAAATTGGCCTTTAATGATCTTGTCTCTGCTTCCACAGTGCTGGGAATTTTATAAGTTTCTTCCTTTTCTTTTCTTTTGAGTCAGGGTTCCTCTGTGTAGCCTGGCTGCCCTAGATATTGCTCTGTAGACCAGGCTGGCCTTGAACTCAGAGATCCACCTTCCTCTGCCTCCCGAGTGCTGCAACTAAAGACCTGTGCCACACCACCCAGTTTAAGCTTATCTTGTTTGTTTGTTTGTTTTTTGAATTAGGGTTTCTCTGTGACTTTGGCTGTCCTGCAACTTGCTCTGTAGACCAGGCTGGCCTCGAACTCACAGAGATCTTCTTGTCTCTGCCTCCTGAGTGCTGGGACTAAAACTGTGCACCACTACTGCCCAGCTCTAAGCCTATCTTTATGTTGCTGAGGTCTCTAAAGGTTTTTCTCAGGACCTGGGGAGTAGAATTGAGGTTTGAAGAGCCACTGCTGGTTGGGGTATGTGTGTGTTATGAAGTAGAGTCCCCCAAATAGAATCATCCACGATCCTTCCACCCGACTCAGCTAGTGAGAAAGTCTCTGGGATTCCACTCAGAGATCTTTCCCTTGGGGGTAGGAGGCCTGGGGCACTTGAAGCAGCTTTTGAACCAACATCTACACATCTAGATGAGACTTTGAGGCTGTGTTTCCATTCCTGTGTGGTGTGCCTCAGACAAGGGGTTTTTGTTTGTACAGTGCAGGGGATTGAACCCAAGACCTTGAGAATGTTAGGTAAGCACTCTACCATTGAGCCATCCTTAGCTGGTGCCTCAGAAAAGGACTTTTACCTGTTCAGTTAGGTAGCGGTTGTTAATGCCTAGCCTGGTGTTTGTCCTTAAAAAAAAAAAAAAAAAAGAGTCGGGCTGGAGAAATGGCTTAGAGGTTAAGAGCACCGACTGCTCCTCCAGAGGTCCTGAGTTCAATTCCCAGCAACCACATGGTGGCTCACAACCATCTGTAATGAGATCTGGTGCCCTCTTCTGGTCTTACATGCTGTATATATAATAAATAAATAAATCTTTAAAAAAAAAAAAAAAAAAAAAAAAAAAAAAAAAAAAGGTCAGGGACAGAAGCTGGACCTCGGGTCAGTGAGGGAACTCCCTGAGCAGACAACCTGCTAAAGGACAGGGGAGGTGATGTAGAGAGGGGGGACTCTCAGGGACCCCCCTTCTGAACTTTGCTGTACAGGTGTGGGACAATCCCAAGAGGACTTGGGTGCTAGCTCACAGAGGACTTGGGTGCTAGCTCACATTGGGGGTCAGCCACACAGGACCCTGGAAAAGTGAAGAAAGACAGGTGAGGGACATACAGAACTCACTCTGAAGCAGAGAGTGATTCTTGGACTTGTGCGATTTCATTATTTAATTATTTAGTGTTTATGTGTCTGGGAATGCGTGGTGCCACGCTCACGTGTGGAGTTCAAAGGTCAACTCAAAAAAGTCCAGTATCTTCTTCCACTGTGTGGGTCTTGGGATTGGAACTCATGTCGTCAGACCTGGCGGCAAACATCTTTACACGCTAGCCATATTGTTGACTCTAACTTAGGATCTCTTTGCCTTCACCTCCCGAGTGCTGAGATCTCAGACCTGCGCCACCATGCCAAGTTTCTGTGGTGCGGGTGATCGAACCCAGAGCTTTGTGCATGCTAGGCAAGCACGCTACCAACCGAGCTGCAGCCCCATGCCCAGCCAAGCTTTTCTGAGACCTGAGAAGTAGAGACTAAAAAGGGCTCATAACAGAAAGAAAGGCGCTGCACGCCAAAGCTCCAGGACCAGTACCTGGCTCAGTGGTTATATTAATTTAAGCCCCACCTACCACCAGGGACACGCCCATCTCGAGGGCCTATCAGAAACAGGGGCGTGGCCATGTTAATAAGGTCCAGTGGGCCACGTTAGGCGCTCTAGCTGCTCCCCAGAGCGCAGGGGAGTTGGCGATCACAGTGACCATGGCGCGCGCTCTGGCGGATCTAGCCGTGGATTTGCAGGTGCCCCGGGTCGTCCCCTGCCCGGATTCGGACTCGGATACAGACTCGGAGGATCCGAGTCTCCGGCGCAGCGCGGGTGGCTTGCACCGATCACAGGTCATCCACAGCGGACACTTCATGGTGTCCTCGCCGCATAGCGACTCGCTGACCCGGCGACGCGACCAGGAGGGACCCATGGGGGTCTCCGACTTCGGGCCGCGCAGCATCGATCCGACACTCACCCGCCTCTTCGAGTGCTTGAGCCTGGCTTACAGGTGAGGGCGGACTGGGGAGCCCGAGCTCCCAGCTTTCCGTGGGGGACCGCGCACTGGGGTTCTGGTCCCACGCTGCTCCGGGGGAACTCTGGACACAGCCTAGGCATCCTCCCCTTCCCCAGGTCCTGAGCCAGTCTACTGACCCTCGTGAATCATTTGCGATTCCCCTGCTCGTGGCGCCGCGGTCTTGCCCTCCACTCCTGCAGGGTCTCTTGCGGTTGGGCCCCTCTCCCTGCTTCTCTTGTTTCTGCCCTCAAGAAATGCCAGGTGTCCCTCACACTCCCCAAACTATAAGCCATCCCGTCCACCCCCTCCTTCCCTCCATTCGTGTGATTCCGGGACTGTTTCGTCTATCCCTAGCAGTCCCCTCAAAGTCCCACTCATCCCCCCCCCCCCCCCCCCCCCGCACTCCGCACACTGCAGTTCTCCCGGGATCGCCCTCATAGCCAAGTCAACTCATGGATACAGTTTCTCGCCCACTCCCCGATTGCCTGCACATCATTTGTTTGGTTTGATTTAGTTTGGTGAGACAATCTCACTCTGAAGTTCAGGTTGGCGTGGAGCTTGGTAGCCCAGGCTAGACTCCTATCTCAGCCCCCCTAACACCGGGATTACTGGCCTGAGCCACCACGCCTGATTTAGAACGCTATGTCAAGGTTGGCGGGAAGAGGTTGCCCAGGACCTGCCCAGAGCCAGCAGGGGGTGCTGCAGTCTGCCTTGCTTCGGGTCCCCGAACCCGGTATCTGTGGGAGGCTGTAACGCAGCCAGGAACCCCTTGCTATAGCTGAGAGCTCCGGAGCCGCGCCCAGCTCCAGCCCCACCTACATGTCCCAGAGGAGGGCGCGAACTGGGGTCCTGGCCCAGTGCCCTGGAGCAAAGTTCCCGGGAGCACAGAGACCAGGATAAATTATCAACCGAAAACAGTAGGAGAGAAAGGGGGATCGGCCGGCCTTGATCTTTCCTCTCTGCAAATACCACTCTTCTTCAGCGAGCCTCCTCCCTTTCGTAGAACCGTTGGCTGTAGACCCGCACCTGCAGCCCCATTGGGGACCTGGAGCAGGGGTGGGGATTGCAGGGGAGCGTGGCCTACCTCGTGGCGGCAGAGCCGCGCGACCCCATTGGCTGGAGGCAGTGTAACCTTGGCCCACATGTTCTGGCCCCAAGCCCGGGTCATGTTGCAACCTGATAGTTCAGGGCGCTGAGACCGATGTGGAAAGTTCAAATTCCTTGTCCCATTCCCCCTCCCCCGCCCGTGGACATCATGAGACTGCCTGGGAAGGGGGCATCTAAGGTCTCAGACGACCAGAGGCAGCTCACACTGGCACAGTGTTTTAGCCACCAAAGACTCCCAGTTACTGGGGTTTCATGGAGGAGCGGAGGATAGCCTTACCCCGCCCTCTCGCTCGTTGAGACAGGGTTATATATGGTAGATCAAGCTAGCCTGGAACTCACTATATAGCAGAGGCTGCCCCCCCAAGTGCTGGGATTACAGGCATGAGCCACACGAAGCCTAGGGTTCCCAAGTTCCCCCAAAGGGTCTCCCATTTCCTACATTCTCTACACAACAGTCGTCTTGCGTTGGCTTGCTGGGCCTCTCAGCTCAGACTGAACAGCCAAACGGGGAGAGGTTATAGAGAAATAGTACTAGAAAGGACAGAACACGGCCCCAGAACTGCTGCTCCCTTCTGAGGCTGACTGTAGGCAGCTAGGTGCCGAGTTTTCTCCCCAAAGAGCTTAGAACATTAAATTCTCTTAAATGGGATTCTAAGCACCGAGGATGGGGGTGGCCAAGTACACGGGAGTCTTTGGTTTCGCACCCTTGGTGAAAGAATCAAGTATGGACTGGGAGATCGGGCTCTACAAGGGACTGGACTTCCTGCATCAAAGTGGCTGGAGAGCGGAGACTCCTCAAAGTTGCCCTCTGACCTCCACGTGCCAGGCACGCACACCCCTCCCAATAATAAGAAATAAAAATAAAAACAAAAGCGAGCACCCCATGCTCAAGCTCATAAACCATGCGTGGTTGAGCATGCCTGGGATCCCAGAACTCAGGCTGAGGAAGGGGGGTCAGGAGGAGGTCAGGGTTATCCTCTGCTGCGTAGGAATTTAAGGTTCAAGGCTAGCCTGAGATTCAAGAGATCATGTCTCAAATAAATAAAAACAAACAAACAAACACACACAAGCTCAGACGGGAAGATTTCCAAAGACCCCCTGTAATAGGGTTCTGGGATTTCAGAGGGCGAGATGATCCAGAGAGCAGCTGGAAAGGTGGGGGTGGGGCACACAGGCAGGGGGTCCAGGGGTGGGTGGAAGTGGTCAGTGAGACAGGGAGAGGGACAGCCTGCAGATGCCTGCCTGTGTGCCTCACCCCTGCCAAGGAGCCCTTCTGGCACACTGTGTTCCCTGGTTCTGTGGGTGGAAGCCCTAGGGAGGACAGCTGTAAGGGTTCCAAGAAGGCACTTGTCTATCTAGGGAGCAGTGGCACGGGGGTCTGCCATCCCAACACCCTACAGGCTGAGGCAGGAGGGTGAGGATCCAGACCAGCCTGGGCTCCATAGCGAGTCCCCTGTGTTAAATAAACAAATTGACAAAGAAGAGGGACTCCCGAGCTAGCTCTGTTGGTCAAGTATTTTCCTTGCAAGCTTGAGGCCTTGAGTCCAATCCCCAGAGCCCACAGGGAAAAGGGCCGGGCTTGCCAGTGTGCGCTTGTGGTCCCAGGGCTGAGCCCGGAGACAGATGGATGCCTGCGGCTCCGTGGCGGCCAGCTTAGCTTACTTGGTGGGTGAGTTCTAGGGCAATGAGAGACTCTTGTCTCAAAAACCAAGGTGGATAGCATGCGAGGAACCGTATTTAAGATCGTCCTCTGGCCGGGCGGTGGTGGCGCACGCCTTTAATCCCAGCACTCGGGAGGCAGAGCCAGGCGGATCTCTGTGAGTTCGAGGCCAGCCTGGGCTACCAAGTGAGCTCCAGGAAAGGCGCAAAGCTATGCAGAGAAACCCTGTCTCGGAAAAAAAAAAAAAAAAAAAAAGATCGTCCTCTGGTCTCCACAAACAAATCTTTCCCTCCCTCCCCCCTCTTCCTCCCACCTCGCTGAGGTTTTCTGTTTTCCCTCATTGCTCACAACTTTTGACCCTTGACCCTAGACTTCTTTTTTTTTTTTGTACCAGACCAGACCCTTCCCCTCACATACATCCACCCTAATCCTTCCCTTTCGGCTTGGATATTATCAAGGGCTCATCTCCCTCAGCCTAGGCTACCAAAACCTCTGAGGGAGCTGGGAGAGGAACAGCGGAAGGCTGAGGTAGGACCCTGGGTGAGCAGAGCCTAATGGTTGCTGGGATACAGACAGGGGCCACAAATTTAGGAGTGTCCCCCACTCACCCCACACCACAAAAGAAGCTGACCCAGGAAGGCTCAGAGTCCCCCACCCAATCATGTTGCCTTACTGGACAGATGGTATTTATCTAGCCATGGCAGGTAAGGGGCCAGCCATCAGGCTGGTGTAGCCTATTTGGGTAATGAAGCCTGTTGTCTCCTGAGGTGGCAGTCCCTGCCGCCCCACATCCCACACCCTGGCAGTCACCATTAGCCCAAAGCAAATACTGGAGCTTGGAGACCAGAGAGGAGAGGGGCCCAATGACCCATGCACTCAAGGAAGCAGGAAGGGAGAAACAAGGAGTCAGGTGGCCACCTACCCACCCCTTACCCATATCATGAGGGGAGCCACTGGGAGAGCAGGGCTGACTGTGCGTGCGTGCGTGCGTGCGTGCGTGCGTGCGTGCGTGCGTGCGTGCGTGCGTGCGTGCGTGCGTGCGTGCGTGTGTGTG